CGTTTTTTTAATTAATTATTTATTAAATATTAGTTAAATAACAATTTAATACCTTATATTTATTTTAATATATATTTTTAAAACAAATAGTTATTAAATATTACTTAAATAACAATTTAATAATACCTTATATTTATTTTTATATATATTTTTAAAACAAATAGTCATTAAATATTACTTACTTTTGACATACAAATAATTAAATAATGAAGTGAATCATTCTAAATATATTCTAATGTTATTCTAATTAATGATAAATGCATTTTAAGAAGAAAAGAAATGAATTTACCTTGAATATGTCTCTGGTCATCTCTTGGATCCAGATATTGCTTTTATTTTAAAATAACAGACCTGGAAATACTATAGTGGGCTTGCTATAAATAAAAGGGTTAGGTATGCCTATATTTAAAGCAAGTTGTGACCCTAGGTATAGGTCTAGGGTTGTGACAGGTAATATTCGTAATATTTTAAAGGTTAACATGGCTGATTTGTGTTTTATTTGTAATAAGTTACTTTCTGAAGGTGATGACTTTTGTGCGCGGTATAAAGACTTTAAAAGAAGCAATTATTGAGAGAAATAAACATAAACTACCTAAATACTTTGACTTCTGTGAACGTTCATATTGAGTGTCGAAAATTGTACGATATAGCGTACTACAGTAAAATTGCAGCAGCAAAACGTCGCCTTGAAGAGACTGGACCTTCAACGTCATCAACTGTACCTCGTAAAAAAGGGAATGATGTGTTTGTGGTGAAGTTGCAGATAAGGGAACAAAGGCAAACAATCTGCAAAGTACAAACGCGTTATAAGTAAGTTTTTGAAGATATGACAATTAATGTCAATGATAACGAGGAAAGTGATGATGAGAATGAGTCTGAAATTGCTGCCAACCTGAAGAAGAAGATGATGAAGAAGATAAAGATTAATAATAATAATAATATTAATATAAATAAAAACATTTTTTCCTACTCCGATCCAATTATCCTTCATTAAAATTAAATTAAAATATAAGATATATATGAAGATAAAATGTATTTGATTTAAAAGAAATATAAATATAAGTATAAGGTATTAAATTTTTATTTTAGTAATATTTATTATATAATTAATTAAAAAAACGGTATAATAGATTGGGATTCACGATTTACCTTGCGCTAAAGGTACGTATGGCTGAGCGCTCCACACTCTGCGCCCTCTATCTCAAAAACGGTTCGACGTGTAAAAAAAATTTTGTAAACAAAATTTGTAGAGAATTTTATTCTGTACAACTTTTATAATAAATGCAAATACGATAGGAGGCAGAGAAAACGAGATATTCTTAAAAAACTGATTTTTGCGACCTTTGACCTTGAATATCTAAGGCCGCTCACACGTTGGCATATGTGACTTTTGAGACAACATTTGTAATGCTAAAATAAAGGTTTTCAAAAAAATTCAACTTATTCCGTTAGATTCCGAGGTTCATCCCTTTTTTTGACTAAGATGACTGTACTAAAAGGCGGGCTCTGTAGGTAATTTTTTACCAACACTTGAGTTAAAACGAGGTAAAAGTGTGTACAAAGATTTTCATTTTTTTTTAAATTGCTATTATTCGAATCTATGATAAAATATGAAAAATACATTATTTAATGTTTTATCGTTTCTAGTGAAATTAAAAAATTTAAGATAAATTGAATATATTTTAAAATAAAATTACTCAAATATTTTATTCAGGAGTTGTGACACACCAAGGTACTGATGTTTTGAATATTTATTATATTTTTCTACAAACGTGCTTTTGAAAAAAATACATTAAAATTGGGTGGAGAAGTTAAAAAAACCTGGATCTTTTGTAATATACTAAAATATTTACCAAAAAAATGTAAGAATATATTGTAGAATCATCCATATGTAAATTGTATATTATTTAGATTACGTAAAAGTTGATTCTAAATGGTTCAAACGTTGATTGAAAAGTCTTCACCCAACGGTTTAAGACTAAATATTGACTTTTAATAAATAATAAATAAATTCTTTATTTTCCCAATAGATACACCATTTACAGGACAATAATAATACGTACTCTCTAACAATGAATTAGTCAAAAATAACTAATTTAATAGTTAATAGTGGCTGCTTTTTCACTTGTCGAATACCATGGTATCCCAAAATTTAATAACCAATTCGTATGTAAAATTGTACCCTGAATCCGAAAATGTCTTCAAAAGTTAAAAAAGTAGAACAGTTTTTGAGATATAGTAAATTTTCCATTTAATATGGAATTGACTATATCTCAAAACTGCTCCACTTTCATAATTTTTGACGGTATTTTCGTATTTAGAGTACAATTTTACATAATAATTGGCTATTAAATTTTGGGATACCATTAAATTAGTTATTTTTTACTAATTTATTTTTAGAGAGTATATAATAGTAAAGACAAAACTAACTAAAATTGACATGAATATTGATAACAATAATTAATCAATTCCTTAAAATTACAATTATTAATATCGCATACATTACAGATCAAATTATTACACATAACCTGCACGGAAGATTTTAAATGCACATTACGCAAACTTATTCTAGAAACAAAAAAAATAAGGATCGAAAGTAACTCCACTGCATCAACTATATTATTTAACAATTTATAGAGTAGAATCTGACTGAAGATAAATCTTCTGTTTACTAAAGATTGCATATGCAATTTATTTAACAGCAAACGATTATCTATACCTCGTTCTGGATAATAATTATCTTATTTAAATTAAATAAATTTATTTACATATATATTGTAACAAGGATACCAAACTACAAAACCTGAGGAGATCTGCAAATACCCCCCCTAATAAACAATCCGTGGGTTATTACGATCCTAATTGTTTAAAATAAATGTATTCAAAAAGCCATGTAAATAAAACTAACATTTAAATTTAGCGGGACGGAAATGCGAATGACGTACGAAGTAGCGTGTGATTGGATGGAAAGAATCTCGTGTTTAGGTGGGAAAAAGAACGGGGATCATTGGAGAAGAGCCGTGCAGCGACAAGGGTGCTTCTTTAAAAATTGTGTGTACAGAAAAGTGTTGGAATTTGTAGGTTTGTACATTTTAAATAACTAAATTATTGTAGTATAAATATTCCCGAGCATTTTGGTATAATTGGTTTACACAAATACCTTGTGTAAATATTCGATCAATTGACTTGGCGTCATCGTTGGATCTATTTCGCCATGATGGCTGCCGTTTTAGAAACCACGCTGTAAAATACATTACGTTTAAATTAGGTATTTCGTATTATAATTTAGATTCTACGTTATAAACAATTGGTACTTGATTTTATCTAATAAAAAGGTTTTTTTTACGAGTAATTATCAAATTAAAAGAGCAGGAATTTACGGGTATTTCATCAAATTAAAATAGGCAGGACAGTATTCGATTTAATTAAGCTAAATGTCAGGACGGTACTTAGGATTATTTAATTAATTTTAATAAATATATAAAAAGGGGGATTTACCATAAACGCTGTGTAAATTAATTGTATTTAATATCGATTTTTTTGAATACGGGATTTATTAAAATTGTACTCGCAGATTCACATTTATGTCCCGTGATTTTTGCCAGTCATATTGAAATATTTGGTATTAAATTTGGAGTGAGTAGCAACAGTAATTGTGTGATAACGACATTTAATTTATCCACTGCCCGTGGAGTCCTGACACAACAAGCCCATTTTGAATTACCATCCTGTAAATTTTAAGAGGTGTGTAAAGGTCTGATTTCATTTGACTGCGCCGACATTGTTTTTGTTATTTGTGTCATTTTGATTACCTAGTATTTTATGGTAATTATCAATTTATTAAAGTTTGCCTCAGTTGAAGCGATTTATTTACTTCCTTTTCTAACAGTTGATTGAGCCTGAACTCTAATAAATATTACATGAAAATTTGTGTAACAGTAAACTTAAATTCAACAGTAAATAATTAATAAAACTTTATTTGGATGATGGAGGCCTAATGCAGATGGAATGCTTGATGAATAAAGTTAAATTTAAAATACAAAATAGAGACTAATACTCAATCTACTTTCACCAAACAAACAAACAAACAAATAAGCAAACAAACAAACCAGCAAATAAGCGAAGAAACAAATTAAAAATTAAAAATGAAAAACGAGAGCTAAGCTCTAGTATGATGTATTATTTATCTGATCGTATTTATATATTTATTTATTTATATTAGATGTGGGTCGTAGTCGCAGTAAGGAGATATTGTGTGGTTTTAACGGTTCGTAGGAAGTCATTTTCTTTCAGAGTTAACTAAGTTAAATGTCGTTTTGGGTTGCGGTTATTTTTGTTGCTCTATCCAAATAAATACCATTATTGTTTGTTATACATTGTAAATATTTTATACGTGTAACTCACTCCCATAATCCCTCATTTTGGAAGGTTTTATGAGCGATATTTAAATAAAAAAATAAACGGGAGCCTTCCGGGTTTTTGACCTGAGTTCAAACGTAACTTATTGCCTTTTATTTACTGTATTTATTATTTCCCTTTTAATACTTTCCTTATGAATACAACACCTCACAAGTACCTTGGGTTACTAAATTAATGAGCTTTATTACCGTAAGTATTTATTTTATTTATTTGTCGTAATTTAATATAACATTTGCCGTGGTGTTATATTTCATTTATTACTTGGGGTGTAACTTTTTACAGATTCTTTGCTGGGGGGGTGTGAACGCTTACAAACCATATTTTAATTTGGATCTAACCAGAGAGTAAAATAAACATTAAATTGAAGGAGTACTTGAAAATGATCTACAGTTTCTTAAAAAAAAAAACAAGCATGCGATTAGCTGATTAACTGTTCATTAAATTATAATTTTGAGTCAAAGGTTATACCCAGATCTTTAATAGAGTCAATTCGTAATAATGTTGCATCGTCTTATTTATATTGGTGTTTTTTGGACTGTTGTCATCTTGAAGGGAGAACATTACATCAGATCTCACGAAAAATGGCTCCTCAAGGAAACTCATCAAGAAAATCGTGGACAGACATGATAAAACATCAAAAGGAACAGGAGACATTAGTTGGTCTCACAATCCCATATGAGCAGGGAACCTCAGAAAAAATACGAAGAATCGCAAGACCATTGGGAGTAAGGACGGTATTTTCTTCACGAAATGCACTAAGAAGCAATCTCTCAAAAACAAAACCACCACAAAACCAGACCAAAAATGTGATTTATCATATCCCATGTACTTGCGGAAAAGCATACATAAAAGAAACCAAGATGCCACTAAACGTACAGATAAAAGAACACAGAAAACACACAACAAAAGGAGAAACAACAAAATCCGGTTTGGGGGAACATGCCTGGAAAGAACACCACAACATATTATGGGAGGACGCGAAAGTTTTAAACACAGAAATACACTGGTAAATAATAAAATGTCTGGAAGCTGCATATATGAGCCAAAAACAACCACATTTTCAGCAACCCCAGCGTGGAGATTAAACCCGTGTGGAAACCCATGTTACGGAAGACTAAACAACTTCTGCTCAATATACAGCAACAAGAAACATTGAACATGTGATGGAACACTAAACAACTTCTGCTCAGTGAACAGTAACAAGCACCAACAAGATAAAAACAAAGGTTTCGAAAATATTTAAACAATTATCACCTGAAGACGATTGAAAATCTCCAGTCGAAACGTAGTGAAATCAACAAAAAATCAAGATAACGACAGTCCAAAACAACACCAATACAACCACTTCATCTACCAACACTAAATCAACGTCCAATTTATAGTCATAACCTATTTTTTGTATATTTATTGTATAGGAACCTATTTGCACTTTTTTACATTTTACATATTTTGTATATTTATTGTATAGGAACCATATTTGATTGTTTCGACCTTTACTTGATGAAACTCCATATTATTATTATTATGTAGATATAAAAACAAATATGTTTTGAAAGTTTCACGTGTTTTATTTACTTATGACAATTGTTTCGTCACACAGTGACTTCTTCAGAATGTATTTATAACTTATTATTAAGTGAGTTTATATAACACAATGTTTTATGGTACACAAATTTTTGGTCCACCTGAATAATATTTGCTTAATACATTGAAAGAGAGTAATAATGGAAAAACCTAATTTATTGTAGTACAGTATTTTCCTGAATAATTAAAATAAATTTAATAGAGGTGAATTATTGGTTTCGATTTGATCATTTAATACAATATCAGTTTGTTTCTTTAATTTATTGATTTCCAGTGATTCTAGTAAATTTAATTTTAAGCCTTTACTTTCTACATGTAAAATTTTAAAATTATGATTAAAAGTATGGTTTTCTTGAATTAAGTGGTTGGCGTAAGCTGAATCTATTTTACTATTATTAAACGATCTCCTGTGTTCGTTGATTCTAGTTTTAAAATTCCGACCTGTTTGTCCTATATAGGTTTTGTGTACCATAAAACATTGTGTTATATAAACTCACTTAATAATAAGTTATAAATACATTCTGAAGAAGTCACTGTGTGACGAAACAATTGTCATAAGTAAATAAAACACGTGAAACTTTCAAAACATATTTGTTTTTATATCTGTATAGGAACCTATTTGCACTTTTTTACATTTTAATATAATTTATTCTTTGACAGATCATTTATAAATATATTAAATAGTAGTAGACCCAAATTGTATCCCTGGGGATGCAACAAATTTAGATGACATAAATCCGTTATAACATACATTTTTTTCCTATTGTTAAAATATGATTCAAAAAGTTTTAAAACCATAAAGATCTAGCTTACTTAACAGTATTCCATGGTCCACTAGAGTTCTATCAAAGGCAAAATCTGTATATATCACATCCATCTGAACTTTTCTATCAAAACTATTAGATAAAAACTGATTAATAATAGTTTGTTACTGTAGACCTATTAGACAAAACCATGTTGTTTATGTAAGATAAGAGATCTGATTTGCCAATAAACTTGGGTAATACGGAACTATTGTAAATAGATATAATTGGTCTATAATTACTTACATTACTAGGATCACCGGAAATTTTTTAGTCTCTTTTTAATCCTCTGGAAATTTTCCACATAAAAGAATTTTATCAAAAATTATCTTAAGTGGTTGGGAAAAGATAAAAGCACATTTTTTAATTAAAAAGCAGGGAATAAGATCTAGTTCTGATGTTTTTTATTAGGTAGTTTACTTTTATAATTCTTTGTTTCTAAAGAGTATACACTACTAAAGTATTTAGCAAAACCATTCACTATCTCCTTGGGTATATTGTAAGTTTCGTTATCATTTTGCACTCTCATAGGAATTCTGGATGATCTTTTTTTTATTATTAACAAATGACCAACATTGTTTAGGATTAGTATTTAAATTGTTTTGTTATGTTTTAGTTATACATTTTTGCATTGCCGGTTTTTTTTTAAGTTTATTACAATAAAATTTAAGTTTTAGTTATTTATTAAATCATTAGAAAACCATAAGGGGTATAAACACTGTTTACGATCATATAATATAATATAATGGAACATGCAAATCGAAAATCGAACATAATTTGTTATAGAATTGCTGACATAAAATATTAGAATCCCAGTTAACTTTCAGTAAGGATTAAACAAATTTAGAAAATTAGCTTTTTTAAATTTGTAATTTCTTCTACATTTAGAGGAATTACTGAAATCTTTCTAATGTTAACTTATATTCAAATAGCAGCGCAGGATGTTGCAAATTTAAATTTACTATCGGTGGGTTGTGTTCAAATATTTTACATTCTAAATCGATAATAACCAGGTCCAATAGGCGCTTATTGATATTTAAAACATTATTAATTTGCTTTATATTTGTAAAACTTAACACTGAAATTGTTTTAGTTTTTAAATCATCAATATTTGGATCAACAAATATTCTAACATACACGTTTTACTGTTGCTTATTAAATGCTGAATTCTGGTTACGATGATAACAGCTACGTGATGGGGCTACTAGCGATGCTTCTTTATAATTATAATTGTATTGTATTGTCGGTAGTGTTTGACACCTTTATCTGTATTTATCAGTCATTAAAGAACAAGGCTGTTTATTTTGAATATGCAAGTGTAAAACGATAGATTTAGCCTTTTAAGGTACCTAAATCCCAATACCAAATAATCCATAGACCTTAGATTAAATACAAAAGTACTCGCAACCTCATATTCTTCAAGACGTCACGGATGCAGACGAAATGGATACCATTTTATAGACTCCCATGGCACACTCAGTTTCCATGTACGATTGTTATAAAACATCCAGAGGTCTCGTTAGAACAAAAATAAGTTTAAGAAAGCTGATGCCCAAGTTCTAGAGCGAACGTAATTTTTACTGATTATAATATAAGATTATAATCTTATGTATGTTCTCTATTTAAATTTATATAACATATTTATATAATATTATGATAATAAATAATAGTTATTTATGTCATTAGGTTAAGAAGTAAGGCTTTTTGTGCTAAGCTCAAGGTTTGAAGGCCGACGCGTAGCGGAGGCCTACAATTAAGCGAAGCACAAAAAGGCACTTCTTGGCCGAATGGCATACAACATTTTATCTTTAAAGCACTTTATAAAGGTCAATTTAATTCAACATCAAAGCGGCCTAACCTCACTTTTTTAGAATCTCATTTATTTATTAGCTAAAGATTACATTAAATTTAAAATAATTATTATTGCTTTTAGAAGCAATACTAGCAACATGATTTATGTAAAAATGGATTTTTGCTAATACGGTAGGTATCTAATTTAAATTTGTTTGGATTTTTATTTAAAAAATAGGTAGTTTGGAATGTTTAAGCTGTGTTTAACATTTAATTTCACTGAAAACTTAAAGCAAATTAAAACTTAAAGATAATTTAAATCGTAGAAAAATAATCGTGCGTTTTCTTGGTTGCCTAACCTCACTTTTTGTTTTATTATTCATATTTAATTTTACAATAATTTAAAGGAAAAATTAAACATTAACAGTAAAACAAACAAATTAGTGCTTATTATAAATAAATTAAACCAGTTTAGTACGTTAATTTCTTAGAAAAAGATTAATTTGTCAAAACAATACCCCTAGCGAGAAAAAATTGAACTAATTACTCATAAAAATTTTTATCGGCCTAGGCTTTAACAGGGTATTTCTTTATCGAATGTTGACAACAATAAAGTTTAAATTATAGACCGCGTGGAGATAACCGGTATTTATTTCATTTTTACTTGTTTTATATTGTCTAAAACTAAATAGTTTTCATAAAACTTAATAAAAATGGCCTTGTCCAAGTTAAAGTTATAAGGCAATAAAAGGCAGATTTTCAAAGACAATTAAGGTTGAGATGCTTTTAAAATGTTTTTATATATGTTTTTGAATCCTTAAAACAAAAAAAATTATACATTTTTTCCCTATAACAGTGATTCATCCTTATGTAAATCTAACTAAAAAAACTATTTATTGATATTCACTGATCCGGTAGTACAATTTAGAAATGGTTTTGATATTTAAAATGAAATCTACGTTCTTAAATAATAATTTTTATTTTTAAACAAAAAACAAATATTTGTTACGACAAATATATCAAAAACAAGCAGAAGCTGAAAGAAACTTTACTAAAATTATAAGTTTAATCCTGTTTGCAACAAAGTTTATTTAGGAATACAAAAAGGCGAGCTGCTAAAATTGTTTTAGTAATTGCTTTTTAACGTTTTAACTTTTGTGTGCAAACACAATGCATAGTTACGTTTTAGAAATTGTTACTTTTGAATGTATTTTCACTTCAAGACTATTTAGACTAGTTTTTATAAGGTTATGTTCTCTCTATCGCTCTCTTACCTCATTTAGAGAAAACTTTTAACCAAACTTATGGAAAACTTTTGTACCTTATATAGGTTTTAGGAAATACCAACTGGAATTAAATATTTTCCAAGTATAAATTCAAGGTTTATTTTAAATTGATTTTGTGTATAGATTAAAGTTATGTTTCCATTGTTCTTAAATTAAATTAGTTATTTAACATACCATAAATTACCATTACGATAGGATTAATGTATGATAAATTTAATATTATTGACATAAGTAAACGTACATCAACTGGGAAATAGATTAGACAGTAGCTGTTGGGTATTAATTCAATAATATTTAATACATATTATGTAAAATGTCATGTCACAATATCATTTAATCTTGTATTAGTAATAATAATAGTAATAATAATAAAAATGGGTCTTTGTTTTACAATTCTGTGGGTATAAGGCATAAGGGGATAAGTCAAAAAAAGCAATTTTTCAGTAGAGCCTTAAACGTATTCGCATTAATTCAGGAAACATATTTATGGTTAGCGGGTATACCCTTTTGTTAGCACTTGTCATATGCTAACAAAAGCGTATACCC